GAATACTGCATAGCATTTGATGTACTTTAGATTTGTCAGAATATTTTCCTACACCTTTTATATTTTGGGATTCTGCATCCTTCTTGAGTTGGCTTTTGTGATACAGCTATTTCTTTCTCACCTCCTTGACTATTCCATTTTTACCCTCTTCCTTGGCTTTTTGTTTCGATTTCACATGACTTAAGGCAATTATGAAGTTCTGTCTTGAATTTACTCTTTTCCTCTTTTTACACACTTTCTATTAATTATCCATAACATCTGTGATTCCCAAATATAAATATCCAATCCCAGGGTCTCCCTCAAAATATGGGTCTGCATTTTCTGGGTATTCTCCGTACCCAGATGTCCATCCTTTTAAAGCTATAGGTCTATGACTAAACTCGTCATTTTTCAGAGCGTCGGTTAACCCCGTTTTGCCCACGTGTCCCAGTGGAAGCACTGCTCTTCCAACTCTTGGGCTGCCTTCATCTTCCCTTTCACTGACTCCCATCATGTCTCTTACTCAGGGGCCATGTTTCCATCCCTATCTCTACCACATTAGCTCACACCTTGGCCATCTCCCATCTGTCCTGTTTGATGGCCTTTATACTCCTTCTGTGTGCTGCTTCTCTGGGCTTTACTGCATCCTGCATGCTGGTATGAGAGTAACCTTTCCAAACTGTTGCTTTCATTTCATAATTCTTCCCTTAAAAACTTTCAGTCAACTAATAATTTGAACAATGTCTGAGTATATGATAGTATTGAGGAATTAGAGTTAATTTCTTTAGATTTGACAGAGGTATTATAGTTGTACTGAAAGAGGTTCTTATCTTTCACATACATGCTGAAATATTTATGAGTAATTGATATGATACTGGGATTTTATTCAAATAATATAGAATGGGGAAACACGGATGGAGTGTAGATGGTTAAGATAGGCCAGAGCTGATGTTTATAGAGACTAAGTGATAGGCACATGGAGGTTCATAACACTGCTTTATGTAATCTTATATTTGTTTGAAATTCTGAAAAATAAAAAAGTTTTTAAATAAACTTTTCAGTTCTCTTGGTGCTTATAAAATAAAGTCTAAGCTCTTTATTCAGGAATTCAATGCCAAAAGTGAAACCCGGTCTGCCTTCCCAGTGCCATCACCCAACAGCTCCCACATATGTCCTCTGCTTATGTAGCAGACCAGCAGACTGTCATGCGTGTAAACATCTTTCCCAGCTCTCTGCATTCTTGCACATTTCTTACCATAAGCAACCTGGCTGCAGGATTGCCTTTAGCTCAGGCATAGGGTAGCTTGGAAGTGCTGTAAACATTGCCAGTAATAGTCAGCAACCAACAACAAGGAGGGCTGGTGATGCAATTACCCAGCTGTGCTCTCCCTTGTCTCCCATGAGTCTCTACTGGGCTTGAGTCCCAGTTGGCCACATGGGTATCTTAATCTTGAAAGCACTTGTATTGCCTTCCTTCCCTTTTTGGTCTCACCTTTTCACTTCTGTACTGGTGCTAGAGGGGACCACTTGCATCAAGTCTTAGACTTGGTATGCTTCTGGAACATTCCAGTCTCACTCAGCTACAAAGGCACCCTTTTCAGATTCTGTGCCCTGTCCAAGTCAGTCTCTTGGCCAGGCATGTTCCTTCTCTCCTTCTCTGCCAATTAAATACATCATTAACTTTTCTAATCTGAATTTTAGCACAATTTAAGCCATTTAAAAAAACTTGGAAAATATAAATGTCATAGAGAAAACAAACCCTGTCCATAGTTACAACATCCCAGAGAAGAACATTTTCTTTGGTCTTTTTTCTGTCTGTGTCTGTGGCCATCTGATTGATCGCCTGGAGCTGGAAGACCCACTTCCTAGACGGCTCGCTCACGTGGCTCTTGGGAGGTACCCCTCGGTTCCTCACCGGCTTTCAGTTCCTTGCCGCATCAGCCACTTCACGGGCATCATGAAATATTCACGTGACACGGCAGCTGGTCCTACCAAGAGAAGTGATGTACGAGAGAGCAAGGAGAAAGTCACAGTATCCTTTATTCTTTGAAAGTAACATATTGCCACTTCTGCCATATTCTGTTGGTCATACCAACCAGCCCAGGGGCACCGTGGAAGGGGACTACACAAGCTCATGGATATCATGAGCGGGGATCTTTGAAGCTAGCTAAGACACCTAGTTTGTAATCTACAGCTGCTTTAGGGGTTTTTGAAGACTGCCTTTAGGTCATCTCTTTTTATATCTTTCTAGCCTGGGCTTTGATCATCTCATTTCCCTTTTCACCTATGTCTCACCTGTCTCTTAAGATCCCAGCCTTTCTCCCAGTCTTTTAATTTTAGTGCTACTGTCTTCCTTTCTTTGTTATTTTTTTCGCACATCTCCTAATCTGGTAATAAGATTCGAGTATATTTTTCAAACCACTTTTATTCCTTCTTAATCTCTAGAGCATATTTGATTTCTAAAGTCAGAATGTTCCAGAAATAGCCCTATTCAATTGCTTTCTTAGACTTCAGGTTACCTTATTTTCAGAGTTGTTTCTTTACCTTAGAAAAGAAGGTGCCATAGTCTTTTATTTGTTACAACAGCCTCCTCTATTTTTATTTGTTCATTGATAAAATCTTACTCTTCACTTGGTAAAATAATAGTTGGGGTCACTGACATCTAAAACTACAATAAGAAGCCATGTATCAAAGAAAACTTGTGCTAAAGTGGCAAAAGGTTTACCTTTGGGGCTGCAGGTAGAGCCATATGACTATAGAAGTAAACTGTTCCCCAGATTCCTTCATAGCCCTGAATATAGTTTAAAACAGAATTAGAAGGAAAAGGTTCACACTAGGGATGCAAAACTAGAACTCTGCTTATTAGTATTGTAGACTTTCTGGAACTTCATTGATTTTGGATTTTTTTTTAAGTCATGAAAATATTTTCTGTAATTCTATCTGAACATTTTACATTCATGAAATCATTTATTTTAGAGGTAATATAAGCTTATAGCAGACCATTCAAATTAATTAAGCATTAAAGATAACATGAATGTACATTAAGAATAAAAATATGACAGCATGTACAAGATGGACAATAGGGAAAATTTGCTGGTATACAATTAACTCTAATATTATCCTTTTTTTCAGTACCTGTCAATAAAAATGGCAGTTTTATCATTTGAAGATTCTAATGTATCATTTATGTAATGAGGAGTTCCTAATGGGGAACCTGCCTTTTCTTAAATTTCCATCGTCATAATCTTAGAATCTCAACTTTCTTTAAATTAAGCGGCTCCTTCTTCTGCATTCTTCTCTCAGATATGAAGGCTGATTTGTTAGCTTTGGTTTTTTACTCTGTTTCCTATGCCTTTCTTTTATATTTGCTTTCTTGCTCTTTTATTTTCTTTGCTTTCATTTTTAGAATGTGGTTGGGTTGAAGCCCTAAGCAGATCACTGCCATTAATCATCTTCTGCCTACTAATTGCTTTGCTGTCATTTCTTTTGGTAAACCACTGAGGGGTGTGCCTATTTTAGGAAATATTTAGATTTGTTTGGGCTTTGGTTGAAAATTGATAAAGTAAGGATGATTACATAAACGTGAGCATGTGCTACAAATGAATTCAAAATCCCACTTCTCTTTTACTTCTTCTACAACTAACTACAGGATCAGTCTCTTCCTCCTCAAACTCAGTAGTCTCATTTATTGGCAGACCTTTATCCTCAGAGGCTTAAATAACATTCAACTTTACACAACTATCTGCCTTCTCTTTATATCAGTCATTCAAAACTTCATAAAACCAATTATTATCCACATGAATGGAACCTCCACTTTGGCATTACTCCAGAGCTCCAAACCATCATAATGTTGCTCACAGAGGTTCTCAACCCTCTCATGTAGGGTTGCTGCTTATTTTTGTCATGACTGAAAAAGTAATAGAATACTCTACGACATGATTTTTCATTTCATCTTCCTAGAAAAGTGGCTTTCTATGACTCAACAAGGTTTGTGCAGGCAGATATGTTCACAGAAGACTGGGCTTTGAACACTGCAGTCATCATTCCTCCCTATCTTTTTCTTCCCATACATATCTATCCATATCTTCCTACTCATGGCCATTTTTGGCTTCAGATTTCTGTGCATACTCTCTTGTTCCTCTTCAGTCTAGAGAATAAAACCATCTTCATGTAGATTATCTGGATTATCAAAATGAAAACCATCACCAAGAGCTGCAACAATGTCAAGATCCATATCCAACTGATGGCCTCAAATAGGAATTGCTTTGTTTATTAATCCAGTATTTTCCTCAAACTCCAATGCAAATGCTAATCAAGACAAATTAATTCCAGGGCCTGGAATTACTACCTACTTCTTTTTCATTTCTCCTGTTATGTGCACCAAAGTATTTTGAGGAACGGGCACCAAGGGCCCCAGTGATTCTTTCAAGGTGGTGTAGGTAGTCATAATGATTGTCAAAGAACTCTCCATAACTTCTTCCTCTGCTTTGCTCACCTCCAGCATTTGTATGCTTTGTGGGCAACAGAATCCTCTGGAGTGCATTTGCATCTACTGCCAGAGACTCTCTGACTTGAGTGGAACGTGTGAAAAGACAGTTTTCCTCTATATTAAGGGTTTTTTCCCCCATTCTGCAGCCATGCGGGACTCACGCAAGAACACTTGAGGCTCCTAGAGCAGGTGGCACACAGCTCAGAAGCAGACAAGGCCCAGCCAGAAGGCACATCTTAAAGTCATGCCATACATATGCCTTTGGGCTTTAAAGTGCAGGGCTGAAGAGCTGGCTTAGAGACACAGTAAAATCTGCAAGTATTATTGCACCCAATGGTGTCTAAAAACACCTAATCCCTGCCTCATCCACACCTGCAAGATTAGCCAGAGCTGTCAGAATTGTCTCAAGTTACCTGCTCAACTCCGTACCCTGCTCAGGTTGAAAGCCCCTAAAGTCTAAAGCCCAAGCCTTAGATCAAAACACTGTGATTTCCCCTCCCTCATTCATTTCTTATTTATTTCTTAAGGTTCCTTACCCATTCAACAAGATGTTGGGGTTTGAGTAGATCAGTAAGTACTACTTCTTTCTCCCCATTCTGAGTCTGGAACCTATCAAGAGACAGATGTAGAATTTCAGGAGGAGAAAATAATCACTTAATATATCACGTTTATTAAAGAGAAACCTGGTTTCTGGAATCAGAGTATTCCAGCATAGGCCTTTTAAATTGAACTCTTAGCCTCTGTTTTCCATATGTTCATTGAGTAGTATATTCCTACTTTCTTCAACTCAAAACATGCAGCTTATTCTTTTCATAATGTAAACTCCCACTGGTTGTCATTTGTTCATTAATATATCTACTACTTCTACCTGGATAAAATAATAACTTGGATTTCTTAAGACCTATGGCAAAATGTATAAGCACCCTTGATTTAGACAGGGAACCCATTTTTCCACTGGTACCAACCTCCCTCTTAGGGCAGGTCCCTTATTCCATCACAGAGAGCTGACTCCAGGGCATGCCTCCCGAGGTCATGTTGCCAGTGAGTGAGGAATGGCCTTTGCTGAACCAGTCAATCAATTCTCCCAACTTTGCATTCAGGTAAGTCACTCCTTATCTTGTTGGAGCAGAAGTCAGAAAGGTTGCTTAAGTGGATGAACTTCCATATGGAACCTGAAGCCAGGTAAATGGAGCTCCCCTCCCAGTGGATATATACTCTACCTAGCAATACATGAGAGGTAGTTTCAGCAATCACCCCTCCCCACTCCCACATGCTTAAGTCTGAGGCAGTTAGCATAGAGACAGCTGATTTGAAGATTGGGCATCCTCAGAGGAAAGTACCAGGAACATTTCTAGTTTCATCCCTGTACAAAAAATGATAATTGACACTGTCATATAGATAACCTACTAATCAATGAAAAGGTTCAAATTTAGGTAACAGAAGGTTTAGTTAGAGACATCAAATTTCCTGCCATTTGACTTTCATGTTTTTTTCTCCAGTTTGAATTACAGAAAAGATCATTTGAGCTGCTGCATAAAAGATGGATTATAGCAAGAATAGAAGCTCATGGCAGACTATTGAGGTAATTCATAATGGCAGTATTACATGCTAGGGTGGAGATGAAGTGAAGTGGATGAACTTGGGGCATATTTTGGAGGCAATGCTAAAATTTTAAAATTAGACTGGAGTTAGAATTCTGCAACTTACTTGTCATATGACTTTGGACAATTTTTAAAAACCCTTCCTATATGGCTTTGCATCTGCAGAATGGGAATTATGGAGACATTAAAACAACACATAAAAATAAGATGAATACCACAATGTCTGGCATGTAGTAAACACTCAATAAATAGTACCTATCGTCCTTATTGTGTTATTGTAGCCCCAAAATTGATCTTCCTGCATCCAGTTCTCTCTTCACACAAACGTATCTCCACATTACCACTAGCACTATCTTTATAAGTCACGGATCACTTCACTGTTTTGCACAGGAAACCTCTTCAGTCCTTCTGATCGGTATAGACTTCATAGCACACATCAAGGACATCTGACTGTCTTTGCATCTGCATTTTTCACATCATTCTTTCCCCAGTTACTATAGAATCTACACTAGTGCTTCTCAAATGTTAATGGGCTTACAGCTTTCCAGGGAGTCTTGTTAAAAAGCACATCCAGATTCAGGGGCCCTGGGTGAGGCCTGAGGGTCTTCATTGTGAACAAACTCCCAGGGAATGCTGTTTCTGCTTCTGTCTGGGCCTTACTTGGAGAAGCATAGCCTAGAGTCCATGAAGCTCCTGCAAGGTTAATTGGAGTTTCTGTAACTTGGGTTATTCTCTTCAGTGTGATCTCACTGTCTAGAGTGACCTTTCCTTATTTCTCTGCTTAATGAAATCATTCTCATCTTTCAAGTTCTATCCAGCTCAAAGGTCACTTTCTCTATGAAATAAATGTTCTTCAAACATATGTTTCATTCACCACCACAGTTTCCCAAATGTTTGCTTTCTTCCTTCCTCATAGTTTTTTTAAAAAAAACTTACCTTTGTTTTGCACTGCAGCTGATCTCTAGATTGTCGGTCTTCCTTGCTGGATGGTGATCCTTGAGGTCAAGCATGGCATCTCTGTGTCTTCTGCAAGTTACACAGCTCCTTGCACAAAGGGCACCTGGCAGATGCTCAGTAAATATTTCTTGAATAAATGAAACTGTGATGTGTACTTCTTCAAAGTGGTGAACCACTCTGTATAGCAAATGTTACTCCAAGTAAATAAAAGTTGGATTTCTTTTAGCTTAAATGATTAATTTTGAATTTCTTTATGTAAAATACTTTTATTCTTTTAAAATTTTCTTCAGTGTTCTAGCTGATTACCCAAAGCAATTCNTATTCTTAACAGGGTAATCTATATCTTTACCAAGGTTGGAAAACTTCAGGCTTTCCCTTACCTAATGCCAAGATAATATTTATAAAGATTATACAAATTGTGACTAATAATTTCTTTTGACCATATTACTAGAAGGTAACCTGGTTAAAAAGTTTTTGCTTGAAACTGGTAAAGAAAGAAAAAAAGAACGGGAATTGACAAATCAAAAACCCCAGAGACAGAGATCTCTGAACTAAAAGGGTTTATTGAACCTTTACAATGCTAGCCAGAGAAAGGACTGAGTCCTGGGACAGGGAGTTTCTGCTTCATCAACCACAAAGCCAGTTAATAGAAATAACTTGTCCACCAGACTCAAGAAACAGGGCACATTTATGAGCACCACAGGAAAAGAAAGTTCTTTAAATTTGCATTGGCTAGAGATAAGGAAGGTGGCCTAAGGTGAAGCCGGAAAATCTGGGAAGAGGTGGTGAGTCCACAGAGAAGGCTCGCGGATTGGCTGTTGATGAGGGTCAGATACTGGTCATGTGCAAGAAGGATGCAGTGGTCCTGGAGACCTAGGTAATTGTCGAAATGACTTCATTCAGCAACGTGGACTTTCTGGTTAGCTGTGGCCCACAGCTACTGACTGGTGACTTTCCTTGTCTCCCTCATTCACCAGCCCTTATCTCACTTAATTTAGGATATTTCAAAATTTTTGCCTTGTCAGAATATAATTGCCTTTTTAACATTTAAATAATGTTAGAAGAAAAGAATAGGAATGCTACCTAACCTATGTTTTTATATCTATAGCCAAATCACCCCAAAAAGCTCCTTTCAAACTTTGTAAAAGTCGTACTTGCCTAATGGAAAGATTTCGGAATTATATTAGATGAAAACTCTCTTCTGGGGGTGCATGTACAGTTACTTCCATTTCTCAAGAATTCTTTAGCCTTTATGAAATTTTCTCAAGGAGAGAAATCAGATTTGTCTTTCGTTCCACCGACCCACCCTGGCCTGGCCACATTCTCAGCCAGGGAAAATCTCTTTCAAGTCAATTGGAATTCCTTGCTTCCATTGTAACATAACATGAGAGCACTCCCTAAAATGGCTGAGCTAGAGACCTGTATATCTATCAGCAGGTTGGACAGCAGCTGTGTTCTCAGGACCGATGAATTGGATTTTCCATATGCACAACTCTTGGTGTTACTGATTTCAGTTAAATATACTTTCAAATTTTAATTTACATACCATTAACACTTTCCCCTGAGAAGTATAGTTTTATGGAGACGTTTCTTTGTCTGTTCTCATGCAATTAAAAAAAAATCCACGGGGCATTCATTAACACGTCTAAAAGTGATAGGCTGTGTTTTTGTGCCATTTTCACTCGCACTGCTTCTGATCCTGCCATCACTAATTAAAATGGGAATTTAGGGTAATATAAACAATGCTTTTTGGCTATCCTAGAAACTTGTTTTTTTTTTGTTTCTTATAAAGGAGAACAGTCTACAAGTCCTCTTGGACAAAGGATAAGGATATGTTCTTTATGGCTTGTTTCTCAAGAGACCGTATAGTCTATTATGTGTGAGGTCCCTTGTTTTGGAACATTCTTCTAGTACCTATCATTCTGTCCTTCTGCCTCAGCTCAGGCAGGCACCCCTGGGGAAGGTACAATTTAAAGTGGGTCTTGCAATAGGAATATGATTTTGGTATGAGGAGGGAAGGTAATTGGTTATGCCAAGTAAGAAAGAATTGTCAGCCAAAGCCCAGATGTAGGGAGAAGCTCAATGATATTCTGTGGGCAGCTCAGTGGCCAGCTTTGTTGCCCAGCAATAGATAATTGAAAAAGGAAGCTTGAGACCAGATTGTTGAGGAAATTCAATTTGAAGCAAGTTGTGGACTTTATTCAGAACATGTCGATAAGTTATTAAAGAATTTTTTTAAATGGCAGGATGATGGCCTTGTTAAATTTGGATGGGCATAGGTATGAGATATTCTGTAACTACCGTGATATTCAACCAGTGAGGAAAGAGGAAAATATAATTAATGAAACCAAGCTGTGACAAGCTGTCCCACGTGTATCTACAGTCTGGTCCATGGCAAGCTCACAAGCTGAAGCAGTACATGGACAAGTAGAGCAACAGGAATTTGTTCTGCTGAGCAATAGCAACAGAGAATATTAAGTAGAAATTCTGGAATTCAGGAAAGTCAGAGTGCAGGTCACAGAATCTTCCTTTTGGGCAGATCCCTAGCCTGGGGGCACAAGTTCAGAGTGCAGTAATCCAGGGAAGAAAGGGGCTATTATAACTGAGGCAAAAGACTTGGGACCCCTTGTTACTTGTGGAGGTTTAAAGATAGAATCCCAGTTCTACAGTTTGTTTGTGGATGAGATGAAATAGTGTGAATGTGGAATCTGGAAGTTTAGGCAATTAAGCTGGCAGAAAGTGGAGGGAGATAGAGCCACTCAGCGTGATGGAGTAGGCCAGCAGGATCTGGCTTCATGATCACGCAGGCTTATTCCTAATTCACTGGACCCTGGGTTTGGTTGGTGATGGAGGCTATCGGCTTGAAGAGAGCCAGCTGGATCATCAGATCTGGAGAGGCCAGTCTGAGAGTGGTATTGAGGTTATAATTGTGATTGGGCCAAGGCTGCAGTGGTTGATTCAGCTTTGGGGAGGAAGCAGAGAAAAATGAAGCACAGTATAGCAGATGTTTCATATGTCTGTTCCCCTGAGCACTCTTTGATGGCCTTTATTACAATGTCAAATGCAAAAGCCTGCTATTCATGTCCTTGCCCAATAAGAATTAAATATTCATCTAAAATATTAAATAATATAGGCTCTGCCCTATATTATCTCTCATAGTTCTTTACATGGATTTTCTATTGCAAGCAACTTGATTTACACACTATCCTCATATATTTCATGCTTCCCATTTTCCACTCCTTTTCTTACAGTTCACTCTTCCTGGAATACCTTTTCCTACTCTTTTCTACCTATAAGAATCCTGTAAGATACAAGACAACCATTCATGTTCCTCTGTTTTTTTTTTTTCTGCACAAGGTAACCTCTCTCCCAACATTGAACTTCTTATCCATAAAATGTTTGCTTATCCTACCTTCCTGTGAGAACTCATATTAATCCACATTTATTCAGTATGACAGGTTTATTGAGAGTCTCCTATGTGTCAGGCACTGTGCTAGGTGCCAGGAAAACTCTGTCCTTTGTAAAAAGCTAGCTCCAACCTTTGAATTTCTTATTGTCTATCAGACTATATCACTAGGTATATTAGTCTACTTGTGCTGTCATAGTAAAATATTATAGACTGGGGGGCTTAAACAATAGAAACTTATTTTTCACAGTTAGGGAGGCTAGAAAGTCCAAGATCAGGGTGCCCTTGTCCTGACAGATGACTGTCTTCTTGCTGCATCCTCACATGGCAGAGAAAGGAAACTTGCATGTCTCTTCCTTTTCTTATAAGGTCACTAATCCTACCATGGGAGCTTCATCCTCATGACCTTATCTAAACCTAATTACCTTCCAAAGATCCCAACCCTTTATACTAACACACTGGGGATTAGGGCTTCAACATATTACTTTTTGGGGGGGATGGGACCCAAATATTTAGTTTATAACATTCTGCCATGGCCCCCCAAATTCCTGTCCTTCTCATACAAAATATATTCATTCCATCCCAACATCCCTAAGAGTCTTATTATGTTCCAGCACC